ATCAGTGCAAGAGCAGGGTGAGGTAGAGGACACAAGGGGCCAGACTGACCCCTGGTCAGCCCCAAGAGCCCCATCTCCCGGCTGTCCCTCTCTCTCCCTCCTCCTGACCACGGCAGGAAACATTAAGTCTGTTAAATACAAATTATCTCTGTCCTCCTCTTCCGCCAGGCGGGATGGAACCCTGCCAAGGGCAACAGAGCCAAGCCCCCGCCGGCCCGGGGAAGTGCCAGGGCCGCGGCTGCAGGGGGCTCCCTGCTGAGAGAGCTGCATAGCCCCGTTACTGAGATAAAGGACCGGGAGGGCGGCGTGGGTGAGGAGGAGATGGAGGAGGGGGCCCAGGCTGGCCGGGGGTGCAGCAGGCCCAGACACCAGACACGCGTAATCTGCCCGCACCCAGGCAGCCCCTCCCCCTTGTGCGCTGGGCCTCGGTTTTCCAGCCCCCGGAGTGGGTTGAACCAGGTGCTGTCTCAGCTCTCAGCCCTCCGGGGACCCCTGCTGTGAAGTAAGGCGGGGACGCAGTGTGGGGGGCACCGAAGGTCAGAACCCCAGGCCTCCCATAGCCTGGCCTGGATCTGGAGCCCTGGAGGGGCCAGAAGAGGCCGGCACCTTCCCTCCAGAGACTGTTTCCATGGTTACAGGCTGCCCCGGGGCCCACCTGGCCCCAGCCTCCCAGAGGCCACCTCCTCTGAGAAGCCCCTCTCCCAGTGACGCGGGCTGCTGCTCCTGTTACTGGGCCAAAACAGTCGTCAGGATGGCGGTCACCCTCCTTTGTGTGGGGTTCAGACTAATGCAGCGTACTTTCTTTGTCCTCACATCTGGTGAGGCCACATCATCACCCCATGTTACATAGGGGCAAACTGAGGCTCGGGAAAGGGAAGTGACTTGTCCAAGGTCACTCAGCTGGCATTGGAGCCGGGGTTTTTCAAGGACACTCTGGACAAACCCCCCCCCAGGGTCCTGCAGACTCACTGCTCCCCCAGACAGGCTTCTCCCCACAGTCACAGAGAACAGTTGGGCTCGTCCGGGAAAGCGGCCTCAAGCTTGTGCCTTACTGGGCACAACTGTGCCATGCCCACCCCCAGACGCACCCTGAACATTCAGCTCCCAAATGCATCGCGAGCTAGGGCGAGGAGAGGGGTGGGGGCGGGGGCCAGGTTCGTCCAGAGGCTGCCGGCCAGCTCCTGGGCCACTGGTCGGGGTGCCCGGCCCCTCCTCTGGGCACCTGCCCCCACCCCGGCCACTGTCTGTATGGGCTGGGAAAAGTTACAGTGCTGTTGCCGAATGAAATCATGAAGTTCTGTTTAATTGGGCCCCCCAGGGTAGGAGAGAAAACAACAGGAGGGAGGGGGAGGAGGGGTAGAGGAGGGAGGGAGGGAGAGAGAGAAGAAAAGGGATAAAGGGAGAGAAGGAGGGGAAAAGAAAGGAGGAAGGGAGGATGAGGGCAGACGGGGGGGCAGAACAACTGGGCCGGGCCCCTCTAGCAGGGCGGCGGGCACTGGCCCTGGCACAGTGCCCGCTGGTGCCACCAGCCTCCTGGAGCCCTCTGGAGGCCAGAGAGGGAACGTATCTTTCTGTGCGTGCATTTCTGCTGCGCAGTTTGGTGGGCTAGGGAGAGAGCCATCCTCAGCGCCAGGAGGCCCTGGGTTCAGGCCCTGAGCACGTCCCTTCACCTCCCGTGCCCAGGCAGCTGCGGGAAGGCTCTGCCCTGCCCATGCTCAGCATCGGTCCATCAGCGCTCCCCAGCAGGGCATACGCATGAGGCGGCCAGGGCTGTTTTTCAGGGCTCGGGGTCCCTGGGGTCCCCCAGCCTTGCCCTGCCCTGCCCCCTGGGGCCCCGCATCCTCCTGGGGCTGGGGCTGCCTGTTGCATAAACAAGCAGAGGAGCCTGGCTCCAATTAGAGGAGGCTGAACTAACGAGGCTGTACCTCATTCAGCAGCTTAATTAGCTCCTGGGCTTCCAGGGGGCAGAGGCCAGGGAGGTAGAGTCACAGGCAGGGGTGGGGGGAGGGGGGAGCAGGCCAGCTCAGAGCCCAGGGGGCAGAGACGCCTGCTGTGGGGAAGGCCGGGGAGGCTGGGTCAGAGGTTCAGGCCCTGGCTTCTGGGTTTGCTCAGGCAGCCGGTAAGACCAACCCCTCCCAGCTCTGACAGCCCAGGTTCTGAGGGGCCCAAGACGCGGACCGTGGAAGCCCCCAGCACCAGCCGGGAGGGGAGCCAGCTGCCTGTGATTCATAACGTGGGCTCCCACTGCACGCGTGGCCCTCTCCCAGCCTTCCCTTGGCCAGGAGTGGGCGACTAGCCCCCGGTCAGCTGGGATACCCCAAGCCTCCCCTCCCTGAGCCCCCTTCCTGGCTGCCTCAGTTTCTCTCTCTGGGGAGAGAGGGGATCTACTGTTTTCCTCTAGCACCTAGATCCTGCGATCTCACACCCCTTTCTTCTCTATGACGGTCATCAGCCAGTCAGTAGATCGATCGACAGACAAATGTCTGTAAGAGTAGTAATAACTAGCGTCTGTGCAGTGATGGAAGGTTCGCAAAGAGCGTCGCATCTCATTTAATCCTCACAACCACCCTGCGGGTAGATGCTGTTATTATCCCCATTTTACAGATGGAGAAGCTGAGGCAGAGGTTCCGCCACTTGTCCAGGGTCGCACAGCTTGTGTGAGCGTAGGAATGAGAACTCGCACTGGGGTCTCCCTGTCTCCAGGTTCAGGGCTTTATCCGCTGCGCCACCTAGTGGTCAGTCATTGTGCTACATTCATTCGCTCCTGGGCGGTGTGAAAGCCACATCTTACTGAAATGTTGCATAGTTCGGTGGACCCAGAGTCCAGAAGACCTGAGTTCAAATCTTGCCTCAGGGTTTGAGTGCACAAGCATTTATGAAGCGCTTACTGTATGCTATGCACTTTACAAATCCCGAGTCTTCTGCTGCCTCATCAGGGTCCCCTCCCACAAATCCTTTTGGTGCTCTCAGACTCAGTTTCCTCATCTGTAAAATAGGGGTAGAAGAACTTCCCTCCCGGGGTTGTGGTGAGACAGTGAGCTTTGCAAACCATTGGAGATGTCGGACCTCCCTCTCCCCGTGGTCTCTTGTCTGGCCTTGGATTGTAAGCTCCCCGAAGGCAGTGCCTCGCACCCTGGCGTCAGACGACCTGGGTTCCAATCCTGCCCCTGCTGCTTGCTCAGCTGTAAAATGGGGGCGGGAACCCCGTGGCCCCTTGGACCCGCCCCCTCCCCACACATACTTGCAAAGATTCCAGGAATAGGCCTGGAAGGAGGGGGCAGGGTGAGAGGCCGGGAAGAGAAGCCGTGCCTGTGGCTGAAATATCGTCTCTTGGATTAGCGGATAGACAATAGAGAGGCGGATCCATACGGAGCGGGCAGCCTCTTCCGCCCGGCACTCAGGGCCAAGGTCAAGGTCGCCACGGACTGCAGGGCATCCTGAAGGTCACCCAGCCATCCCACCCCAGCCCCTTCTCTTTAGAGGAAGCCGAGGAAGGACTGATGAGGAGATGCCTCTCCGCTGTTGGCAGAGGTGGTGGAGTACGGGTGCAGAAGGAGGCATACCTTGTGGCCAGTGGGCCCTTCCGTGTTGTTCCTGTGGGACGGGGGAGAATTTGGGGCTGGGGGCTCACCAGCTTGGGAGCTGGAGGATCTGGGTCCCAGCCCGGGAACCCTGTCACTGGCAAGTGACTTTCCAGACCTTTCTAGGCCTCAGTTTCCCAATCTGTAAAATGAAGAGGCTGGACTGACTGAGGTGAATGGCTTGCCCGAGCTCAGACAGGCCACGTTGAAGCCAGAACTGGGACCCGAACCCAGGTCCTCACTCTTGTTCCACTGTACTCAGCTGGAGGGCAGTCTGGCCTAGGCCAGAGAGGCCTCGACTGGTTGTGAGATCCTGGGAAGGAGGTCCTCTATCTCTGAGCCTCAGTTTCCTTCTCTGTAAAAGGAGGGCAGGAGCCTTGGAATTAGCTGAAGGTGACCATTCGGCCGTTATTATATTCTTAATAAGTGTCAATGCTGTCCCTCATTAGGGGGGGAGCTCTGGCCCTGCCTCCTGCATCTTCTCCTCCTGTGACCTTGAAGGAGTCTCCTCCCTTCTCCAGGCCTCAGAAAGGGGGTGGGTTTCATGCTCTTGGGAGCCCTCTGCCAGGCCATCCTTTGCTAGGGCAAGACATTGGGGCTCACGGAGGCCTCGAAGGTCCCTCGACCCCGGACGGGACGGTGACTTTTACCGCCCAGCGTGGGCCCGAGCCAGGGCTGTGAGGAGGAGACCTGGCCGGGGTGGGGGCAGGGGATGTCCATTCCACACACAGAGCCCCCCACCCCCACCCCCAGCCAGAGATGCTTTGAGACTCTTCCCCACCCCCCTTCCTGCTTTCCTCCCTCTGGCCCTGGGAAGGCTGCCAAAGGTCTTTCATTTCCAGACAGATGAGAAAGGGGCAGGGGAGGGGGAGGCACGAGACCGGGCGTGGGGGTCCCAGGAGGGAGAGGGAGGGAGGCTGCCTCGGCTGGCCTGGTGCGTGTCTGCTGGGGACCGGCCCTTGGCCCACACGCCGCCATCCCGCGAGGCCGAATCGGGGCTCCTCCCATCCCCTCCTGAGGACCCACCGGGCTTGGGGCAGAGCCTCTAACTCAGAGATAGCATGGCCGAGCTGGGCGAGATGGGGAGAAAACCTTGGAACATAAAGTATTGAGCTGGGGGACCTTCGAACCTAGAACGTGGAAGGTCATGGCTGGGTGGGGGCACCTGAGAACCATGTAACGTTGATGATCAGAGCAGGGAGGGGCCTTTTAAACACCATGTAGTGCACACCCCTCTACAGACAGGCTGTGACTTACCCAATCAGCGGCAGAAGTGGAGCCTAGAACCCCCGGGTTCCCCAGGACCATAAGGGGCGGCTCCCTCCCCACACTCAGTGATGTGGTGACACAGTGTTTTCCAGACCAGGTAGGGGGGAAGGGCCAGAGCTCAGGGGGCCCTGCTGTGTTTCCCCCCCGCAGTGGATGGCTGTATCCACCGAGCCGCGGGGCACCTGCTGACCGAGGAGTGCCGTAGTCTACACAGCTGCGAGACGGGCAAAGCCAAGATCACCGGGGGCTACCGCCTGCCAGCCAAGTGTGCGTATGCCTGCCCCTGCAGTCTGAGAGGGGAAGGGGAGGGAAGTGCGCCTCCTCTGCGCTCCAGGCCCGACAAGGCCTCTGGAGCGGCACCGCCCTGGCCCGGCCCTCTGTCCCTTCGGGGCACCCTCCCCAGCCTGCCCCCGTGTGCTGGGTCCTCACCCCTTCCTTCCCTCCTCACCACCCTGCATTGCCCTAACCTCCTGGGCCAACTGCCAGCCACCTGCTCTGCCCGTCCCCATGGCGAGAGTAGCAATTACAACCAAAAAGACCATCTGAGCATGGCACGTGCCCCACAGCGGCTCGTGGCATCACATCCAGGCTTGGGTCTCGGGGTCACGGCCACTCGGGGCCCACTGCCCCCTCCCCACGGGTGACTGTACCCTGAGCCTGCCGGCCTGGCTGGATGTCAGAGATGCCCCCGGCAGGCCCCAGGCCCCTGGCTGGGCTCTGACCCCAGCCTCCCGGCCGTCAGGGCCTCGTGCCCTGAGCCTTGGGGGAGATGGGCAAGGCTCCTGGACTTTCCGGGGCAGAGGTGACGGAAAGACAGAGAATCTGTCTGGATTAGGCGCTGTGCCCACGTCCCTCCACACTGCCTCCTGTGGTCTGTGCCCCTGTGGATGGAAGGCGTGCATGCCTCCCATCAGCCAGCGGGTGGGCTGGGTGTTTCATTCCCCACCTTAATTGTGCCAGGCCAGCTGGTGTCAGTCTTCTGGGCTCCCCTTGGGGAGGGGGAGGGAGGCGCCTAACAGGGACGAGGCTTTGAGGACACAGAGATCCAGAGCTAGGAAGTGACTGAGTCAAGCTCATCCGGGCAGCACTCGAGTATGGGAACCACCCCACGGGTGCCGGTGGTCCAAGGACTCCCCCCCTGGAGTCGTGTCCAGAGCCGCTCTCTGGGCAAGGAGGGGCACGTGGGCACCAGGCTAGGGCAGGGGTGCCACAGTGAGGCGCCACCCTGAGGGCAGCCCTGGCTCTCACTTCCCACAGACGTCATCCATACCGTGGGGCCCATCGCTCAGGGAGACCCCAGCCCCAGCCAGGCCCAGGAGCTGCGCAACTGCTACGTGAACAGCCTGCAGCTGGCGCTGGAGAACCGCCTTCGCTCAGTGGTGAGGGTCGGGCCACCCCAGAGAAGGGAGCCCGGGGCCCTGGCTGCGTGTATGTGGGGGGTGGGGGCAGAAGCCCCAGCTAACAGCCATGTTTGTCTCCAGGCCTTCCCGTGCATCTCCACTGGGGTCTTTGGTGAGTGTGGCTGTGGCCAGAGGGAAGGCGGGCAGGGTGGGAGGCCAGGGGCGGGGGGGGGGGGGGGGGGCGGGGGGGGGGGGGGGGGGGGAAGCCGCTGATACTCCAGGTCCTGCTGGACTCCCACAGGTTACCCCAATGAGGCCGCAGCTGAGGTCGTCCTGAGCACTCTCCGAGAGTGGCTGGAGGAGCACAAGGACAAGGTAGGGAGCTCAGCTGGGGACCCCCCCCCCCGCCCCCCCGCCCCCGGGTCCCCGGCAAACGGGGGGGTTCTGGCTCTAGCATCTGACAGGAAGGGGAAGGGACTGGCTTGGGGGGGATGGGGCTGGGGCAGAGCTGGTGGCTGTGTCCTCCCTGAGTACCCAGACCCTTCTCTGGCCTTAGGTGGATCGACTGCTTATCTGCGTGTTTCTGGAAAAGGATGAGGAGATATACCGCAAGCGGCTGCCTCATTTCTTTCCTGTGGGTAGGTGCTCCCTCCATCCTCCACCCCATCCTCTAGTCTGCCCCCAAATCACCCGGTGCCCCGAGGGTGCCCGCCCAGTCCCGAAACCTCAGGGCGCACCCCAGGTACCTGGGGGAGGGGGCATCACTGGGGGGAGGACCCTGGGAGGCTAATCCTTGTGCGTGGCCCTCACTCTCCTCTGCCTTCCAGCCTGACGCTGCCCCTCCCCACTCCCCAAGACTGGTAAGAAAGGCCCCAGCGTGCTGTCCGCGGGCACTAACCGTCCTCGTCCTCCCAGGCACCAGCTAACCCACTCCCTTTCCCCCACCAGAGGCAGACAGGGCTGCTGGCTCCCCTTCCCCCATCCCAGGCCAGGGCTGGGGGCTGCGGGGGAACAGGGTGGGGAGGCAGGAGGGGACCTTGACTGACACGTGGGTTCTCCCTGCAGATCCTCCCACGGGGCTGCAGTCCCAGCTCTGAGGACGAGACCGTTCACCCCACCCAAGCTGCCCTCGCCCCGGACCCCCCCTTCCCCGTGACCCTCCCACAGGAATGAGGATCTCACAATACTACTCAATAAAGAGTTCTGCTCAGTACTGGCGCCCAAAGCTTGATGAATGTAGGCACAAGGCCATGGAAGTGGGGGGTCAGAAGCTTGGGGTGTCCTGAGCTCATCCACTCATTCATGTACTGGGGGGGGGGGGCCTGAGGCTTGAGTCATCCGTCGTGCTCTCACCTCCAGCAGGTAGGAGAGGACCAAGGGGAAAGAAGCCACCGGCGGAGGGCTGACTAGGGCTCGCCCACCTCCCCGTGCGCCCGTCCGCCTGCCCTCCCCACCCAGGGAGGCGGCAGGAGAGGGGGGGCACAGCTGCCTGTTTGCCAACAATTAGTTCACATTTATTGAGGCGCGATACAGTTGCACAGAACACACAGCCACGCTCCCTGCCCTCGAGGGGCTTACAGTCTAAGAGAAGACGGACAAACCATTAATTCTTTGGGGGAGGGGGTGGTTTTCTGTGGCTCGGATGGAGTGGTGGGGGTGGGGGAGAGGGAGATCCACCCACCCTTCCCCTTGCTGGAAGAAATGGAGAACTCGGGAGAGCGAGCAGAAAAACACTGGTTGAGGCCCAGCAAGCCAAAGCAGGGGGAGGGGAGGGGAGGGAAGGCAAGGGCACGGGCAGCTGGGGAGAGCCCAGGGCAGCGGGCTCCCCACCTTCCATGGCCAGGCAGCCTCCTGGAGGGGCAATGCCTGCCCAGGGATGATGGTGAAGCCCCCAGGCCAGGCCCATAAGAAGCCACTGAAGGGTCCGAGGGGCCCAGGGGGTCCCGCCCTGCTACCCCAGCAGCCGGGGCAGAGAGGAAGGGGTTGCACCATGCTGCTACAGAGCGGCAGTGCCCTCTGCTGGGGGCAGAGCTAAGAACAAGCCAAACCTTCTAAGGAGCAAGACCGAGGCAGGCACCAGGACAGAAGCAGCAGCGGCAGAAGTGAGAGCGGAGGCAGCTGGGGGGCCTCCCAGAGGCTCCCCGGCCAGAAGCCAGGGAGTCCGGACGGGGCCAAAGGCATCGCCCAGCCCTCCATCCGCAGGGCTGAGCGTCTGGTGGCGGTCGAGCCTGGGCCACACTGGGTCAGCACCAGGGCAGGCAGACCACCACGTGGAAGCACAGTTAGGGCGAGAGACCCTGCAGACCCCGGGGGAGGGGCTACGGCATCGGGAGAAGATCCAGATACTGAAACAAAAGCAGTGGCATCCTCTCCCAGCGTGATGGTCCTTGGAAGAAGCCCCCTGGAGGGCAGCGGAAGGATGTGCAGGGTGGCCCCCCTCAGCCCCCTGCCCTAACAGGCCATCTCCTCCCGGGTTTGGCCCCTGGGGGCAGGACTGAGCCCCAACCCCCAAGGCTTGGCTAGCCCTGGACCAATGTCCCCACGAGGAAGAACGGGGCCTGGGGCCCAGGCAGGGGCAGCCAGACCCAGGGCGCACGCAGCAGCAATACACGGGCGCGCACACATGGCCTCACCACCAGCATCCCCTTTAATAAAACACGCAAGGTCACGGGTGACAGGGAGGGGAAAGGGGAGTGAAATATTACCATTTACAACCACAAAAGACCTCTGTACATGTCTAACGCCTGTTAGCAGGGGGTAGGGGCAAGACTGGCCCCAGCACTGGCGGGCGGCGGTGGGCAGGGCCCGGCGCTGTCCCACCTATTTGTACAGGATATCGTAGTGTCCGGGTCTGTACAGCAGATACACCTTGGGCTCGGAGCCCTCCGGGAAGACGTGGGGGTTGGTGGTGCCGCCCTCACCGCGGTCCATGTATTCCACCTGGATGGAGACGTTGAGGGCCTGCGCCAGCGCGATGATGTGGATGTGGTCACTCTCCTTGCACATGGGCTCCACCTCCTGGAGGGGCAAGAGGGCAGAAAGGTGACGGGGCAGAACCAGACGCAGTCACGCCACTCATCGCCCCTCCACTCCTGCCCGGGCACACGCTCACTTTGTGGGAAACCAAGGCTGAGGACGTGGGGGAGGGGGGTCAGAGCTGCTCGTGGGCCCGTGCTCATGTGTCCGCTGGCCCGGAGGTGTCCTGGCCAGACGACCCTGGACCAGCCTGGCTAAGAGGTTGCCGGGTTAGGGAGCAGAAAATGAGCTGTTTGGGTGCAATGACTCATGAGTAGGTGAGCAGTGATTGCACCAGCGGATGAAGTACCCACATCCAGAAGATAGGAGGACCAAAATAAGGTAAAAAAAATGGCAAGCTAAAGGTCAGTGTGACGAGGAGCAAGCTGGAAGCTGAGGGGGGTGCCGGGGAGAGGTGCCACGGAGGAGAAGGCTGGGGGGGGGAAGGGTCCGGCGGGCACCTGCTGACAAAACTCCTTGACGGTCCGTCCCCCCTCGATGAAGTGTTCAAAGAACTTGCTCTCGCGCTGCAGGTAGCCTGAGGTGAGCAGCCGCAGGTAGACCACCAGGTAGTCGGAAGTGCTCTGGTCATTGAAGGAGGTCAGCAGTTCGGCCACTGAGGTCTGCTTCTCCACCTGCTCGATCAGGTCCATGAACTGCCCGGAGGGAGGCAAGAGGGCGGCTGGTCAGTCACCCCGGCCGACCCCAAGGCCTCCCCACCCGAGCTGGGGGCGAGAGGCCGGCTCACCGTGTTGTGGAAATCCTCAATTGTGAACTCGGTGAAGCCCTGAGACACCAGGTCCTCTTTGCTCTTGGCAGAGATGGCTTTGAACCTGTGGAAAGGAGGCAAAAGTCACTAGGGAAGAAGGGGAGAGAGGCAGGCGGATGCCAGGTAAGAGTATCTGGGGCCGTTTCGCACCAACAAAGGGCAGAGAAGAGACGAGCACGGACTGCCCGGCGGGGCTGAGGGCTCATTAAAGTGGCCAGAGGCTAGTGCAAAGACTACAGGGATCGGGGTCAGAAGAGACCTTAGGTGGGACCCCTAAGTTTGACATTTCTGACTAGTGCCCTAGACCAGTCGTAATTTGAGCCTCAGTTTCTTTATCTGCAAAATGAGGAGGCTAATGTTCATGCTGCCGAGTTCCCCAACGCCGTGGTCAGGAAAGCGCTCTGTAAGACTCCAAAATGGGCCGTGACGGCCAAGCTCACTGCCGCAGGCTTGGCCTGGAAGGGGCTTCAGGACAGGACCCCACAGACACCCTCAGGGAATACCTCTGCAGCTCCTTGCTGTCCTCCAGAAGGGCCTCCAGGTGGGAGAACCCGAAGGCTCGGTAGAAGCAGTTGCCATCGGGCCTGGTCTTTCGGATGAAGGAGTATTTTTTGTGGAGGTCCTGTGGAGAAAATGGAGGAGCCACTGAAGGCGGAGGTGAAGCTGGGCGGCTTTCCCGTCTATGCACGGGGATGGCCCCGTGGACAGCTTTGAGGTGGGCTAGATGAAGAAGCATGCAAGGAAGTGAGGGCTCCCTGTAAATCAATGCTCAGAGCCCTGCAGAAGTGGGATGTTCTCTCAGCAAGGCACGGCAGTGGAGAGAGGGGAATCAGAAACCGCCCTCACTAACAGGCCTCAAACGTGGGGCCCCCTAACCACAGCGGCCTTCTGAGAAGAAAGGCCGTGGCTGCCCCCACTGATGTGCTCAGATCCTCTCGTCGGTGGCCACACCACGCACGAGGTGGACCAAGTCCCCAGGGGGTTGGCCGCACACGCCAGGCAAGAGCAGAAGCCAGTTTCTGGTCTGGAAAGTGATTCAATAAGCAATTCTTCTGAAATTCCAATCAAGGACCTATAGACCCCAACACTAAACACTGCGCAAAGGGCCTTTCCCCATCCATTTTCAGAAGCCCCGGTTCTCGGGTAGAATCAGAAGGGTCCCTCGTCCATCTACAGGAAGAAGGGGGATCTGGGAGCCCCAACCTTGATCTTCTGTTGATAGATGTTGTCGTCTTCCGCGTACTCCTTGTACAGCACAGAGAGCTCCAGGCGCTCGGAGACCAGTGGATTCTGAACAGCAATCTGCAAGGGGGAAGGAAGGAGGGGACAGGAGCAGCAACTTTACAGGTCCAGGAAAATGTCTGTGTCTACCTCAATCCCGAAGTAGGAGCACAGGGCTCCGCGCGGGACCTCAGTCTGTCTTTCAGAAAAACCCTGGTTCTCCTGTACCCCTGAATCAGTCTCAGAAGGCTGGGCCAGAGGAGCTGCTCCCCAAACCAAGGCCTGGACAAGTGATCCACAGCCCGCCGAGCCAGGCCCCAAAGAATGAAAGGCGGGGCCTCAGGCTCATAGACGTCTTCTTTAGTCATCCTTTCATTTGGGTGTTTGGTCCAGGCCTGGGAGTCTCCCTAGACCAATACAGATCAGCAGCTGGTCAGCTCTCAAAGAAATGCTGGGGGGAACAACTGTGGCTAAGTGATTCGCCCAAAGGACTCCAGACCCTCCAAACTCCCAGGCTGACAACTGTAGACAAGCAGCTCCCTTGTTAAGGCCCCATTCGGTGGAACCGATGGATGATTCCCCCCCAGTGGAGACCAGGCCCAACCAGGCACATGGGGCCCCTCAGGCAGAGCCAGGTCTTTGTCCCCCCAACACAGCCCTCTCCCCTGCCTCACTCCCCTCACCTCTTGCTGAATTCGGTCCTGCTGGGCCATAATGGCTTCATCGTAGGCCAAACAGTTAACTCCTGGAAAAAGGAAAAAGCAGAAAGCAGATGAAAGGCCCATGCAGTCAGCCACCTTCTCTGCACAGACACCTTGGGTTAGGCCTAAAAGATGCTGGTCTGGGGCCCTGATCATGGAGGGTCGAGGCCCAGATCTCCTGGATCTGACTTGTTGTCATCTCCCCTCCTTATACCTGCCAAGTCCTCTCCGGTCACTCCTTCTCCAGCACTGGCCAGCGACGGTTACAAGAACGGCTCAAGGTTATGATATAATGGGAACTTTCCAGAGCACGTGAGTGGGGTGCGTGCCCCCCAAAGGGGCCCTGGGCAGCCTTCCGGCCTGACCCTCAGGGAGTGGCCCTAGCTGGCCTGAGCATTTCCCACCAACCAGGCCTTCCTCCCGGGCCACCCGCCGCAGCCGGCTTCCTTTGGCCACTCGCCGCAACCCTCGCCCCACACAGCTTCCCCTCCCGGGAAGTAACATGACTTCCTCCCGAAGCCGGGTCTCTGAGGGATGGGGCTGGGGCGGCAGCGAGGTACCAGCTCAGCTGGAGGACACAGGGTCCACCTGGCCCACCCCACCCCCCCCCAGACAGCCAGCCAGGCCCGGGGCTAGTGGGGGGAAACCTAGCAGAAGGCCGGAGGGAGGCGAAGGCCAGGAAGCATCTGGGGGAGAAGATGCCCCAGAGAGGCTGCGGCTGGGCCATGCCAACCTGGAGGGATGAAAGATGCAGGGGCGGGGCAGGGGGAGAGGACCACAGGCAGGCCGAGGTCGGAGGCTGGCACGCACATGGAGAAGGCGGCGTGAACTCATGGGGTGGGGGGAGAGGAAACCAGATGAAATCGATTTGGGGGAGATGTTTAAGGGGCTGGCGGAGGGGGCCAGACGAAATCGAGGGCTTTGGGGGCGTGGGGGGAGGGAGCCAAAGGCCCTGGGACTAGAGGTGGGTAATTAGGGAGTCTGGGGGCACGAGGCCAGAGGAAATCAGGGGACAGGAGCGTCAGCCCTGGGGGCGCGGGGGAGGGGCCCAGGTGTGAGAGGGAGGGGCCCAGGGGCGGGGCCGAAGGAGGCAGAGTCCCCGCCCCCTGGCCCCACAACCCCGCCCTGAGGGGAAGGCGCGCGCGAGGGGCGGCCGCGGCAGCCTCGGTCTGGCACTGGGCGGGCGCCCCCCCCCCCCCCCCGGCCATGCCGTGCGCAGGCGCGCTCGCTCCTTCCCGCGCTCGCGTGCTCGCGCGCCGCTCCCGCGGCCGCCTCTGCCCCTCCCCCTCCGCCCCCGCCCGCGCGGCCAGGGGGTCTCAGGCGGCGGCTGCTTCCCCCGGTATGTGGCGGGGAAGCGATGGAGCCCGCGCGCCTCGCCTCAGCTCTACGGCCCCCGGCCCCGGCCCCCTCCGTAAGGGCCGGGCCGCGCATCGCCCGCCCTCCCCAGGTGCTCCCGGCCCCCACCCCCGCCCCCGCGGCCGCTACCTTCGGAGTCGCTTCCCAGCGGCTCCGGCTTCTGCTGCTGAGGTTCCTCCGCCGCCATCTTTAAACAGCGCCGCACCCACGACCACTTCCGGGTTATTGGCGCCTCTCCTCCCGGAAGTGAACAGCCGCCCGCCTCCTCGGACTCCCGCTCCATAGCAACGCCCATAGCAACCGGAATCCCCGCCCCCGCCCCCGCCCTCCCTTTTGGGCCGCCTAGCCAGCGGGAAGCTAGGGATGAGACTCGGCGCCCAGGGCCCTGGAATCTGCCGCTGGGAAGGGCCTCGGAGGTCATCCAGCCCAGCCCCCTGGCCATACAGATGAGGACACTGAGGCCCAGAGAGGGGTGGAGCCCCGTCATTGTATAGATGGGACCACTGAGGCAGAGGGGGACTTGTACAGCTGACCCAGTCCCCTCCTCCACTGTACACATGGGGAAACTGAGGACCTGAGAAAGAGGTCACACAACTGGTCAGACTCCTTTGTGCCTGTAGGAACACTGAAGCCCAGAAAGGGCTTGGTCACAGCGTTACCCCACCCATTCATCATGCACATGGGGAAACTGAGGCCCAGAGAAGGCATCCCCAGCTAGTCCATCTTCCTCAGAGAGAAGGGAAGTGACTGAAGTCACTTAAGCCCAGCCTCAAGGGCAAGAAGTGTCTGAGGCAGAATTCAAACCCAAGCCAGCCTGACTCCAGGTCCAGTGGACATCCCCGCTCAGCACAAGATGCGTCACACACAGGAGGTGCTTAAATCTCAGTCGAGATGAACTTAGTAAAAAGATGCCCCGGCAGCGACCCCAGCGGGCCTCGCCAGCTGCCCCCCTCTCTCTCCTCCAGTCACCTTGACCCTCCCTCAATAGCCACATCATTATCACAGCACCCTAGGACCAAAAATTGAGACCTGGGAGGAACTTCAGAGCTTGTCTCCGCCTCGTTTTACAGACGAGCAAAATGAGACACCCAGAAGTTAAATGACTGGCCCAAGGTCACAGTCAGGATTTGAACCCCGTCCTCTGACTCTAAATTCCACTCTTTCTCCAGTAAACACTCCAGGGAAGGATTTCAGCATGCTCTCCTAATAAAAGCTGAAACCCTCAAGATTAGACTCTCAGAAGGGACACCCGGCTTGTAACCGAAGGGCATCCCCATTATAATATAGCCTCTGATGAGTCATCTGATTTCCAATGACAGGGAACTCACTCCCTCCTGTACCCCACTCCAGCCCACCTCCAAGGCAGCCTGTACGGCTCTGGACAGCTCTCATGATCAGGAAGGTTTTTTTCCTAATATCAGGTCTAAAGTGACCTCTCAGCAATGTGCCCCATGTGCCCTGCTTCCGCCCGCTGGGTCCCACCCTGATACTGGTCCCTGATCACTCTTCAAAGACTTGAACGGAGGCCCGTGTTGCCCAAGTCTTCTCTCCAGGCTCCGAACGCTCAGGGGACACGGCCTTGAGCCCCCTCCCCATTCCTGCTCCCCCCTTTCTCCAGCTCCTCGATCACCTTCTTAAGCTGTAGCTCCCAGGACTGCCCATACTCCTCCTCTGGATGTTGGTTGGTCAGAGCAGGGCATGCAGTGACTTAAGGCCTCCTCCTCTCTGGAAACTGGAGCCCTCAAGTCAGCCACAAGGTTCCAGCTGCTGCTTCCCACTGCCCGCTTCTATTGGGCTTGCACAAGGAGTCTTCGGACCTGCAGACCAGTGGCTGTCTCACTGGACAATGCCTTCACCAGATCGGATGCAGGCTGTTGATTGTTGGACCCCAAGGGTAAGTCTTGACATTTATTCATCCTATTTCCAAGGCTCTGCCCCATAAGTATCTTTTGGGAACTCCGTCATCGAGAGTATTAGGTGTCCCACTCAACTTTGTGCCATCTACAAATCTTATAAACATCCCACCTGTGCTTTCATCCAAGTCATTGCCCAGAACGTTTAGCAGCACAAGCCCAGAACCCTGAGGGTCCCACTGGAGACCTCTTGCCAAGTTCACGTTGTAGCATGTTCAAACATGAGACTCTGGACCCTAAAATCCAAGTGGAGAATTCAGGAGCCCAGAGGCAACCTCCGTCACAGCTCCTAGCCCCGGGACCAAAGACAAACACAGAACTAGACATCCCACCAGACAAGCCTTCAGCCCTCCTGATTCCTCTCCCCACTCCCACCACCCAAGATGTTTCTCCCAAATTCCAGCTTAAAAGGACCTTGGCCATAATCTACCTTCCATTTTACAGATGGGAAACTGATATCCTGGGTCATCTCAAACGTAGAAATGTTGGAGCTGGGACTGACTTTGAGAGGAGTGTCCTTTCCACACCAGAAGCGCGCCACCCCCACCCCCCACCCCAGCCTGGTTAGACGGAATCTCCTCTTCCCCCTTAGCATTTCAGACGTAGTGCTGGTGACATGTCTGTGAATCAAAGTCTCATGGCTACCTCAGTTAGGAACTTGGACACTTCAGGAATTTCTACTGATGGGAGCGAAACCCCCAAGTTGGTGGAAACGTCAGGTCCAGGTGAAGATCCCTGCTTTGACCTGGCTGTGGCAGAGGGCAGAAGATGCCTGGGTCACACTCGAAGGGCTGGAGAGGTGGTGACCTGGATTGTAAATCTGGCAGAGACCCTCCTTTGAAGTGAGCCAGGGGCCTGAGACCCGGCTTCCCCCTGCCTCCCCCTGGGCACATGCACTGAGCATCCCTGGGTCTCTGGTGCCCAGGCAGAGCAGCAAGGCCATCTCTGGCACTGACCCGCCGGGCCCTCACGCACAGCCTGCTCCTCCCCCCATTTCTGGGTCACTCTACCAGAGTGCATTCTTACAGGCGCCCTGTGCTCTGCTTGGCCATTTTTCAGTCTACAGATAACGGACGACCTCCAGGCCAGAGCCCGGTCTGGCAGCAGTGCCAGGCCAGAGGCATGGGCGGCCCACCCTGTGCTCTGGACAGCCAGGGCTGGCACCGCCCTCACACAGTGCCATCCTCAGCAGAAAGTGACCATGAAGCCCCCCCAGGCCCTTCTGGGCATCTCCGAGGGCCTTTCAGCCCTGGCTACAAGATCTCCAGAATGCTGGGACCAGAGAAGGCCTTATTTGGCAGGGTGTCCATCAGGGGCCCTTCCTTTCTGCTCTGACGGGTGACAGATCAGGGGACGGACTGGCCTGTGTCCTCTGGACTTCCTCCAGGCCTCCAGGGAGTGGGGCTGGGGGAGGGCGTGGTGGGAACATGCCCTGACTCTTCCCCAGGCCAGACCCGCGATCCATGTGGGGTCCCCCAGGAGGGGGACCACAGCTCCCCTTCCCTCTGAAATGAGGCGGGGAGCCTTGAATGCCACCGGCAGGCCCTGGAGCCTTTGCCAGTCGGGGTCTGCTGAGCAGGCAGCCGGCTCACTTGCAGGAGGGCAAGCTCAAACCTTTGGAAGCGCTCGCGATGATCCACAGGCCAACGGCCATGGACCAAGTGAGCCAGGGCAGCTCTGATGTCAGAGCAGGCTCAGCCAGCGGCCCATAAGGGGCAAAATAACCCCGATCCTCACTCAAAGAGCCACGTGCCAGGGGCAGCCTGCAGGCTTTGCCAGGACTGTCACAAAGTCAGGGGCAACATGTCTTCATTTGTTCCCGTGAGGAATCGGCGAGGAGCCCATCATCCCTCACTCACCCTGGGAAAGCTGAGGTGGGGGCACGACCCTGTGATTTGAGTCTAAGTCAGCTTCCAAAGCCTGAAAATGCCTGGTCACTGGCCCCCCTGATTCTCCCTTCTGCCCCCACCCACACACCTGCTGCCACCAGCACCGGGCCCAGGGCACCCCTGCAGGACAGAGGAACTGCCCCGCTGACCTCCAGCTGCCAGGTTCCATCCTCAGCAGTTTGACGCAGGAGTTCTGAAGGCCAAAGCTGCCGTCCACCCCGAGCTCAACGCCAGATGCCCCAAGCAACACGACTCCCCCTTGCCAATGGGAAGCAGCCGGTCCCTACTCCTGACAGGTTACAGTGGGCAGGGTGGCAGTTACCAGGGAAACCCACAAGGCTGCCCTCTGCTCGGCACATCCTTGCTCAGCATCTGGAGCATGGCCATGAGACCAACACTGGTGCCCAGGTTACCCTCTCCCCCTAGATGATCTCGGGCAGGCAGCTGAGGGCCAGCGTCCTAAAAGAAGGCTACACCATCCCAAAGGACACCACCCATCCTCCCCCAACTCCCGACTGGAAAGCCCAGATCTGCAGGCTCAGGCCCACTGCAGGGGAGAGGGCAGGGGTCTGCAGAAGGATGCCTGAAAAGACTTCAGGACAACTTCAGGGGCTCTCAGACCCCACCTCTCAAAGCTCAGGGTGGATTGCCAACCCCCTGCTCTCGAAGAAGGCATTTGTGAAAAAGGATAGCTGGTCATGGATCAGAGGGAGAAGACCCCTGCTTGGAGGAAGCCCAGGGCAACAACGCAGAACCACTGGGGTGATGGGGGAAAGGCCAGAAACATTCAAACAAGGGGTTCAATCTTAGCTACCACCAACACTTCTAAAAGGAAGAGGACCCTCCTGAAGTGGGAGAAAGCAGTGAAATAAGGTTATTCCCAACTGCTGGCCTCCATCTTTTTTTCTCCCCTCCTCTTTATATCCTTCCCTCCTGCCTGCTCTGCCCTGACAAAACCCCAAGCCTATGGTGTGATGAGGCAGACAGCCCCCCGAACATCCAAGCACCAGCTCACGCAGCTCAGTCACCAAGAGCTGAGACAGAGGCCTCGGGCCGGAGCCCTCGCCAACGCAGCTCTCCCCAGGGGAAAATATCAAATGAAGGAGGAAATGAGCAAAGTAAGGCTCAAGAGGTGCACCTCATGGGACACTGAGGGAATTTTTACTGGAGGTCCCATGGAGGAACCCTTTGAAATGGGCCTGGTTGCAATAGGACAAGGATGGAGAGGAGAGTGGTAGATTTTGTTAAAAATTGCCTTAGGTATAACTGGGGAAAAAATAAAATACTCCTTTTTAGAAAGGACGTTTCAAGAGTAGAAGGGGCAGAGAAGGGGCACCTACTCAGGCAAGGAGCTAAGCACTTTATGTTAATTACCTCGTCAGATCCTCACAACCTCCCTGAGAGGAAGGGA